AAAAAAAAAAAAATTTAAAATGGGGAAGGGTCAAACTTTTCGGCGCTAAATGTTTTGGGGGGGGTTTTCCCTTCCCCATTTTTTAAAATTTCGAAATTGGTTTTTGGGGAAAAGCCCCTTTTTTTTTTTTTTCCCCCCAAAGGGGGGCCCCACCCGGGGGGACAAAGGTTGGGTTGGGGTTTCCCCCCCCTTCCCAAATTTTGCCTTGGAAAAACCCGGGGGGGGGGGGGGGGCCCCCCCCCCCCCCCCCCCGCCCCTCCCCCACCGCCATCGTGCTCTCGACCGCGGGGGGAATGAGACACACAAAAAAAAAAAAAAATGGTTGAGAAACACGTATCGACGAAAGCTCTTTCCGCCCGCCCGCCCGCCCGTTGGCGGTTTCACCCCACCCTTCGTGCACAAAAACGCTGACAGCCGATTGGGAGAGGGGGAGGGGGGTGAGTCACGGCCGACCTATCCGTCTTTTCGTTACGAGAGTTGACGTTGTTGGCATGTGTGGCAGAAGCATGAGAGGTGTAGCAGGAGGTGGAAGCATAGCCACCGCAGGGGACGGCACAAACCATATCCGCCCGAGAACCCTCGGCGGCGGCTGCCGCGGCGGACGGCGTGCCCCCGGGGACTACTTCCAGCGCTGAAAATCGTTCGGCTATTAAAAAATAGCATCCCTTGGTGAAGGAAGAGAACGGATTATCAGTATCAACGGAGGCACAAGCAGGTAACATGGGTACCGTGGTCTCGGAACCGTGGACGCATACATTAACCTATGCACCCTCTTACAATGTGGATATTTTGAAGACTATGGTAGGTTTCGAATATCGCTCTCACCGCACGTCGAAGTCGGGCTGGTGGGCGAGCACGTAGAAGTAGAGCATGCCCAAGACGACTCCCGCCGAGAGCTCCTCGGGAGGCGCGAACAGACCGACCAGCAGGATGGGCTTCAGGAACTCTTCGTACAGCCTTTGCGTGTTGCGATGCCATCCGTGATTGTTGAAACCGCGTGACGTGTGCAATGATGGCGAAGGGGAGAAAGAGGTCGGGAGGAAATCGATCGAAGCGTACGTCGTTGGGGGGAACAAGGATAGAGCGAGGCACGCTCGAGGAACAGCCAGAGACGCGCATATTTCTCTTCGGCTTACACAAAGCACCGTGAATCCGAAAGACAGACACCTTCGTCCAGTCTAATCCGCGGCCCCCCCGGCCCGCCCTCACCCCTTCGTGGGACTCGCCGAAACTTCTCGCGGCGCTACCCACTCTGTCAAGGTGCTCCGCGACCCCGGTCGGTCGGCGAAACCCGAACAACGCCCGCTGCCTCTGCAAGGATGCCATGAAGGCATAGGGTCGAGAAATACTACAGCCGCCGTGATCATGAGAACAAGTACCCCCCCCCCCCCCCCCCCCCCCCCCCCGCCCCCCTCCCCCCCTTTCCTCTTTT